GTACCTCAGTTTTTCAGAGATCGTTAACTCTTTATGAGAGTGCTTGCGATTTGATAAAAACGAGTGAAGATGGTTTGCAAATTGATCCGCCAGCAGCAATCTTGAACAACATTGGAGCTTTGCACATGACGATAGAGAATTATGAAAGAGCGAAAGAGTATTTCGAAGCAGCGGAAGCAAAACTTCAAGTAATTCCTTGTAATTTTTCAAAAATTTTCCATAGCCGTATTCAATACTCACCTTTTTTCCTCTCAGGAGGATCTGGAAGGAGATCTGTGCGACTCAAAACTTTCCTCTTATGTCATAACGATGAGGTACAATCTCGCTAGATGTCTCGAACATTTGTGCTTGTTTGAAGATGCCGAGGTGCTGTACAAGGGGATTTTGAGGGAGCAGGAAAACTATACTGACTGTATGTTTTTGGTGTATATCCTATCTATCTTGAGTACCTGATAGTATCAGTGGTATAGGCTATCTACGTCTTGGTTGCCTCGCACGCGATCGAGGGCAGATCTATGAGTCGTCTGTTTGGTTTAAGGAAGCAATGTCTGTCGATCAAAACAACGCTGATTCTTGGGTACTCATTGGAAATCTGCATATGTCCAAACATGAGTAAGTTGCTGGCAGGCCTTTCAAATTTTACGCTACTTTACTCTTCAACTCTTCGCTTTTAGATGGGGTCCTGGTCAAAAGAAATTTGAGCAAGTGCTGAACAAGATGGACAAAGAAGACGCTTATTCATGGGTATCTCTTGGAAATGTTTGGATGGAAATGTTGTTCAATTTAGGGAGGAAAAAGACAGACGATCGTGTAAGTTTACTTTCATGCCTTTGCGGTCATCTTTTTCGTTTTTCGCTAATCTTCAGAGTTTAGACGGTTGAAGGGGAACTAAAATTTTGTGCTTCTGCTTTTGTCTTTGTATCTTCTATAGCGCATAACGTACATTCTGAAAACTCCTTTTCTACGCATAAGTAGATTTGTTGAATAGATCAAAAATGAGCAGTGATCCCCCCCGATCCACATCCGTGCAGTCTTTTCTCAGTGAATGGAGAATGCCATCACGAAGACCGAAATTGTTTGTCTCCACATGATATTTACTCTAAAACATTAACTGCCTAGTATTGTAATCACTTAGGCATTGCCTTATGTATCTGACCAAAAGCTTGTCCGGGCAAATTTTTGACTCCGAAATAATCTAGAAACTGTCAAAAAAGAAACAGCCTTTCTAAAGAACTAGAGTGTTTACTTTTGAGAGAAGCCAGACACTGGCGACGCTGAGGGGAAATCGCTGAGTGTGTTGACCCAAGCTTTCTAAGCGATTTTAGTTAGTTTACCGCGGCGAATTATTTGCCCGAGTTTGGGGAATACTTAGTCAGAAGATTACCTGTTCGTACCTGTTTGAGCGAAATCTTTTGCTGAACTGTTAAGATTCGACGGCTGCTAGGTTTTATACT